TCAAAATCGATTTCGAATAACATAACGCGGCATAAACAATTTTATTATGACGGCTTTGCATTTGAGCCAAAAGTTCCTCCGCTAATTCGTCGGGCCGTCGAGTATTTCCCTACTTTGTCGGCGCTTGCATCGCCTCCGGCCGGCATGCATTGCGTACAGTGGCATTAATTGTGACAATAAACGTCCCCTTCATGGGCCATCGTCCACTGATTACTTCACCCTCGTAATCGGACTCGCCAAGGTGCTTTTGATGTCGCGGGAACGGCACCCTTGTCGCTTGTGTAACGACGTCCTCCTGTCGCTTTTGCGAACGGAGCTTTATCCCGGACTTAAGCCCCTTGAGCGCTTGAACGGTCCCCTGGTATTTTTTTTCCAATCACGAGTCGCCGTTAAAAAAATATATATCTTTCCCCAAAAAGGCAGAAATTCCTGGGAAAAAATGCTACCCCTAAAATGAGGAGGAGAGAATACCGAATTATGGGGCAATGAGGTCGGATTTGTCGTTTGACTTGAATTGGGACACAGGGGTGGTCGATATAGGCCCGAATTAAAAACGGGGCCGAACGAAAGGATAGAATTAGCGAGGGTAATTGGAAGCAAGTAGAGCAAGTGCAGGACAATTACGCATTTGCCAACCGAATCTACATTTAGCGCCGCCCCCGGAGGCAACACGGCCGGAAAATGCGTAATTTGTCCTGCCAAACATTTTTCGGCTTCGTTACCACCCACCCCCGGACTCCAATTACCACCCCTGGACGCCAGCTATTAAATTAAACTTCCGCCGGGTCTGTATCAAAATTCGCCCCGCAATCAATATCTACCCCAAAGAGCACCTTTTCGAGTCCTTTCCCCACCGACGACAAGCCGACCCGAAATGAAATTCGAAAATTGGCTGAAATTTGCACCCCCGTTAAGGAACTTTCCACGTTTCCCTCCCGGAAAAAAAAATCATCGAAACAAAAGAAATATCCCGGCAGCAATTTATTTCCCTGAAATTCCGTAGTCACCCTAAAATGTCGAGGGTCTCCCTGAAACTGCAGGAGGGAAAATTTATAAATTAAAGTACTTCAAAAAATAAGGAAATATTTTTGTGAAAAATGAAATTTCATGAGTATCGCTCATTGAATTTTTTGATACATATGTATCCACCCCTTTTATAGTTGGTCTTTCAATTTCGCAACGCCTTAAAAATTGGCGGACCAACTACAGAGAGGGTGGAGGGCTAGCGTCGAGTTCAGGGGATGCGTTATCAGAGGGTCGCGTTATCATCGCCGGCTCCGATGTCACGTCCGAGTTGTTGGGAACTGCAATTGACACCGGCCAAAAGGATGTTTTCGACGGGATCGAAAGTGCAGCCTCGAAATCCAGGAGTCTCTCCATGGATGCATCCGCCCACGCATGCATCCCCCACCCACGTCGCTGCACCGGAATTGCATAACGAATAACTCCCAGTGCTCGGTATCTGTTCCAATTTTTTTCCTCCCCCATTTGTTTAACTTTTTCCCCCAGTCGTATCTCACGTGCGGCGTGACGTGCTTTTTGAGCTCCTTTTACTTCTTTTTTTTTTTTTTCCCAGCCGAGTCCCTCCCACTCCGGGGCACGAAAATTACAGTTTCCCCGGAGTTTCGTCGTTAAGTACAGCCTGCACATCCGAGGCACAATGCAAGCCCCTCCTGTCCAGGACGAACGGAACTTGCGCGACCGATAGTGAGCCCTCCTTTTATTTATTTAATTCTTTTTTTATTTCCATTTCCCATTTTCCCCCTTCTCGTCCGAGGGAAAAAGCTCGACTCTCGGTCGCGCGCCTCGGTGGCCGAGAAATAGAGGAAAACGGAAAAAGGGGGGAAATTATTTCCTGATACCAGGCCGTTTCCGGGTCTCCGTTTAACAGAAGGAAAATAAGGGAAAATTAGGAAACGGGGGAACCGAGGCAGAAGGCACTTTTCGAGGGGGTGCATTTTATTCCACTCCCTTTTCGAGGCTCCATATTCAAAAATTTCACGGATTTCCACCTGGCAGAGGGACTGGGTGGAGGGTTGATGGATCGGTCGAGGAAGAGGGGAAAAACCGGAGGAAAAAAAAAATCGGAAACGCAAGTTACGTCCAGATTGGGATGTAAATTGATGATGCCGAGAGGGTAGGGTCGGGGCTTGCAGCAAGGGGTGTTTTGGACGGAGATAAACGCGGCTCGGATTCGGCTAATTGACGCGATCGGCATCCCCCGGAGTTTCCTTGCAACCCCCTCGACCCTTCCTGCAAATGCAATCGAGAGTGCAGTCGCAAATGCACTTTCGGCCGGCGAAAACGGACCAAAGTGCGCGGGGCTCGGCGCTAATATTTGCCGTGCAGACACGCCGAAAGTTTTCCCTATATTTGCGCTTTACGATCGTTTTACTGCTCGAAAGCATTCGGGGGTTGTAGCTCGCCCCGGGTAAACGCACCCCCTCAACCCCCCCGAGTGTGCATGTCAGAATGTTATACGCTACGAGGCCAATATTTGGCCTATCGATGTACATGCGATAAACGTTAGGTACTACATCCAAGGATGCATTTGCACGTACCTTCAAACTTATTTCTGTAATTCCTGGCAGAAGCATCCCCTGCCCCCCAAGAAAAAGGGGGGCATGACCACGTGGACGTTCATGAAACGCGCCTAGGAATTATTTTTATACACATTGTATTTCGTCGAAATGACGTCTTGTACCGCAATCGGGGTCGGTTGACATCCCCTTAGGGGACATCGTCGTGATAAACGCGGTGACTTCTAGGGGGGATGATAAGCCCCCGCCCTTGTTAATCGAATCGAAGTTGCGCGATCGAGATCCACCCTCGTCGCAGCCTCCACCGACACGGCCGTTATGTACCTTTCCGGCGTGCACCTCATCGAAAACTTCGTAAACTTCGTAAACCGTCTTGTAGGGCTGTCAGGGGGGGTGGGGGTGGCCACCCCCGCGGGTCGATAGACGAAGTTTTGCCCCCGTACTCGAGCGCACTCACGGATGTTATTATAATCTACTCGGCAGTTCCATCCACCTTACCCTGCCCATCCACCCCCCACGTGGGGCGAACCACCCCCGCGCTACTTAGTCGCAGTGCACTTAAAACCGACGAATGCCGGCAAATCTGTAAACAAGCAAACTAACGTGGCGTCTGGCTCGGAAGTTAAATTGAAGCCGGGGATAAATCCGACCTTCCTGCGGCGAACCACCCCGAGTCACTCGATCTTAACCCGAGGGTGCGGCAAACAGGGGTGAGTTCCGATTTAAGTCCATGAGAGGTATACGAGATTTTTATGACGAATTTTAAAGTATATCTCTTTCGTGATAATGATGGACCGATAAGGGGGTAGGTGATTCAGGGATAATAAATTGATTCATCCCTTATTTTATTTGCAATTATTTTTAGCTATAAATGAGGTGCATGGTACTATTTCAACGAATGGGCGGAAGGGGTGGAATGGCTCGTTTCCCTGGACTGGAAGTGGCATCTTCGGGGGTGAATCGGGAATTCCTTCGTCGCTGCCACCCCCTTGTGTGCAAAAAATGAAGGGCCCGCGGGGGCAACAGCCCCCGGAGGCGCAGGGGTTTAACTGCGAAAGCTTGCTTGTTCGGCGCGCAGTTTTCCCGCGTCGAGGCCGGCGGAGCGGCTTAGGGGATGATCCGGGGGGTGCGGAAACGACACGGGGGTGGCGGGGAGAGTTTACGTAAGCCTCGGGAAAGTTGGCCCGATACATCTCCCTTTAACCAGGTCTCGCGGTCCTGTAATTTAAATTGCCCCTAATACATCAAGCTACCCAACGCCACCCCCGAATGCCCGGACTTCACCCCTAGCCCGTAAAGAGTTAGACCGTTTCACTCGTGTAAAGCTCGATGGAAAAAAAGGGGGATGGGAAGAGGGGATCCGAACGAAGGTAAAAAAAAATCAGGGGATGAGAGGAACCCCTGGTTCGACCAGGGGGTGGGTCTCGTCCGGAGCTCGCGATAATCGCTCGCGAACGCTCGGCAAAAGGCCACCCCCCAACTTTTCCGAGGAGGGTCGAACTTCCCGGCAGACTACGAAAGCTCATCCCGGTGAAAGCACAAATGGAGCGACTTTCGATCGCGTCAAAGACGTCGCGGCCGACTCTCGCAAACAAGGGTGGAGGCGACGGCTATTCTTCCTCCGGCTCTGCAAGAAGTTCCAACGGCTCGCTCCAGATTTACGGGGTGGCGGGCCAAACACGTAGGGGTTGTTACGCGGAAATAATAAACAGGTCCTGGGAAAGAAGAATTCCTACCGATCGAATTTCGACGATCAAAACGGCAGTTAGAGATCTAGGAAGGCCCGGCTTCGTGATCTCGATTTTATCAGCGGGGATTTCATCGGGTGGAGTTTTATCAGGCTCCAGAGCGAAGGGGGTGGGCGGCGAAAGCTCGGCTCAGGGAAAACACGGACCGACCTCGAGGACGAACCTGAAGACGGCGAGCAGGACGCCGAGAAACGAGGGGGTGGAAACCGTCGCAGCCTGTCTTGTTGACGAAAGCTCGTTTTGCTCGCGAAAGCTCTCCCGAGACCGATGAGATCCTCCCGTCTCATCGTCGACCTCCACCCCCCGGCGAGTTTTCATTTCGGCGGAGCTCCAACTCGGATCCTGCCAAGGAGTCTTTCACGCCCTTCGTCCCTTTGGACTTGTGTCTCCTGACTCCCTTCCCAGCTCTGTTTTCCGCTTCCCAAGTAGCCCAGTTAATACGGCAGAGCTAAAGGGTTCCTCTTAAAGGACAGCCCCGACGAGAGGGTGCAAAGGTCACGTGCTCGGCAAAGTGAGGCCAAACTGGGTTAAAGCGCGTTCCCTGACGTGCATTTAGAAATTTCCTTCGATACACCCACCGAACCGGGAACCGTGGAAATAGGAACTTTGGGAGGGCACAAGTTAGGTCGTGAAGGTCCTGGAAAAGAAAAGAAAGTCAGAACGTCAGGCGATCAGCTGATCGGTTCTCCAAAGTTAGGTTCTCGTTCTAGAAATGCCAGCAAACCTGAGCTCCAGCTCAGGGAAGTCCAGAACCCCCGAAGCGGGTTCCTGGCGATCGGCATTGGAATCCTTGGAGATCAACGACGATCACTGGTGGTGCATGGTGGTGATGATCGTGGAGACCCTGCCAGATCATTCCCGTTTGTTGTCCATGATAAACGAGACAGCAGAGGAAGGGCCAAGAAAATCCATCCACGCGTTGAGCTACCAGAAGTTGATGAGCGCCCTGAGGACCCTATCAAAGGGCGACCCGAACAAATGTCCACCTCTTCAAGGTGTCTGTCACCAGGCGGCGAAGGTTCTGTCCGAGAACGTGGAGGGACTGCCCACCTGGCTGCTGGCCAGGGTGATCAAGTTCCTGGTGTACCGAGTCAAAGTCGACGATGTGACCAGGTCCAGAAGACAGATGGAGATCGACCACGACCTGGACCGCGAGCTGCAGCTGATGAAGACCGCAACGACCGACCCTGCCTCGGCTGGGGTGTTGGAGAAGCAGAAGAACCCAACATCGGACCACTCCACCAAGCCGAAAGCCAACACACAGCTGAGGAGACGAGGAGAAGAGTGGAGGGACCAGGTGTTCGTGGACGACGCCCCGCCGGAGGGACCAAGGGTCTTCGTCATCCTGTCGGGTTTCCATGACCCTGAGCTGCCTCTGCAGCTGGTCAAAGCTGGAGTTCCGTTGACTTGCTTGCTCAAAATAGAGCGACCTGGAGAGAAGGTCCAGCCTCCGTCGGATGTTGAAGTCCATAGAGTGGTGCCGGTCTCCAACAGGAGGAAGATGATGATCTTCCGGGACCAGGAGACCAGGAAGGATGATCTGTACAGGTTCTGGACGGGGTTTGAGGAGAGCCTTAAGAGCGCCTCCGTCAGGCAGGACTTGGGTGGCTTGATGTGTAGGACCTTCTGCCCCCCAGAAATCCCGAAGTCCTTGGACCACGAGCAGTACGACAGGACCAGAAGAGACCTGTACGACAGGCTGTCATTTCTCGTCTATGACCTGTACGACGTACATCGGCAGCACATCAAGTACTTGAGAAGCATGAAGTTGCAGGAGAAACTTGAAGAGCAGTCTTCGATCGGCATGAAACGTTACACGACCATCATGGATTCCATTCCGTCAGAATGTGTTCTGATACCATTGGTCCTGCACGCTCTGTTGGCTCAGGTCGAAACTGACGTGCCTTGTTTCATTCCTGACCATGAAAAAAATCGCGAAGACTTTGAAGAAGTACTTCAAAAATCTCCGATTCGACGGAGTGAGGTTGGAACTTCGCTGGATGATCTACTTTCAGGTCCTGGATCAAGGATCGCAGACAGGATCAAGCAGCTAAACCTGAAGTACGGATTGTCCCCTGAAGACCAGTCAGATTCGAGCATCGAAGATCCTAGGCTGGTTCTTCACGGCCACTATTTAGACGCGAACACCTACCACCTCCACCTTGAAGACGACCCACGCGAGCCGAGCTCAAAATCTTCCCTATCAAACGGAATCCTGAACACCATGAAGAATATTTGGATTTTCAATTTATGGGAACAGTTTGAGGAGCTGTCAGAAGAGAACCTGGAGAAGTACGCGTTTCACATCGACAGACTGGCACACTGCTTCAGGACGCGCATCAACGAGGCAGGAGTTAGGCATTATATTAATTTTTTGATCTTTGATAAAATGGTCCATGGGGAGAGACTTCGGCAGAACCTGAAGGAAGGGGAGGAATTGGAGTACAAAGTTTCGTTCCCATATGTGAAGATGCTGAAGACAGGAAGGGAGAGGAAGGTGAAGTCGTTTTCGTCCTTGATTTTGGAGGACGAGAAGTCGATGTCAGATGACAATGGGATCAAGGGGTTTGGAAGTGACACCCAAATCCGGTACAGGGAGAGTATAAGGGACACTTTCGAGTGCCCTTCTTTGGTGGCCCTGATGGACCCTAGGGAGATGCTGAAGCCGGGCTTCCTTAAAGAAGCTGGAACCATTAAGAGACGGGAAAGTCCACCTCTCAGAGAATTCGACGATGGCCAGCTTCTTAGCCCTGAAGTGTTCCTCCAGGCAGTTTTCGACTGCATGCAGGATTTCCAGATCCTGAAGTACGAGTACCTGGAACCCACCGACACGATTCTCCTGTGCTTCAAGAATGAGTACGATGCCGAAGGGATGTCCAGGAGGGAAGTGATCGCAAAAATTCGGACTCCAGTTTGCCTTCGGGATTTCTGCGAGTACGTATTGGATGAAGAGGTCGACTGGGTGAGGTCGGAAGAAACCACCCACGACCTGGAGATCCTCCAGAAATTGAAGGAGACCCTGAAGAGCGAGGACGAAGACGAAGAGACGGGGAGAAAACTGAAGTTCACGGACGAGGACTTCATCTTGCCCAATTCGCTCAAGGCGCAAGATGGCAAGAAGCTGAAGAGCGAAGTTGCGAGGGATCAGCTGAAGAGCCGAACTCCGGAAGTGGGGCCGGAAAAGGGGAAGTCGAAGGAGTCGGCTTTGAAAGTGAAGACCAAGGTCGACTCTTCAAGGAATAAGAGATTCAAGGACCTCCTCGACACCTCCTTTCTGCCTCTTCGAGAAGACCTTACACCTCGATGCGCCAAAGATGAAGAGCCCCACGAATTCGTGGGGTACGATCTTGGCAATCATCGGGTCCAAGTGGTGAACAGAAACGACACGTTTTTCTCCGTAGATGGCACTCGGGTCGAGGTGGACCTTGAAGAGTGGTTATACGAGAAGCCTAAACTGCACCTGAGGGTTACGCTATCAGGATGCACCCTCTACTTGCACCACACCATCGGGGACTTGCGTTCAGAAGACAACCCTTTCCATCTGATGACCAAAGACGGCATCGTCCTGGCTTTCAACAAAGTACCGAGGTCCAAACGTAATCTACGTAATCAATGAGCTTTTCTAAAATTCGGAGCAATTTTTTTAGGACCCGATAAACCCAATTTCAGACAGGAGGAGCGACCCTGAAGACCGTTGGACAGAGCTGATCTATGAATTCCGAGCATCCTGGCCTTCTGGACTCGTCATCGAACCCATCATCGGTGATGGTCCCGAGAATCCTTTCCTGATCCAGCAGTCCTACATCAGCAAGGGTCCGGAATGTCGTGGAATCCTTCAGGAATGCTACAGAAAATTCCTGAGGAACGGGACCGTTCTATCCTTCCTGGACGACGACACAGTGACGATATACCGACCCGATGGGACAATCGTCAGATGCAAGGGTTTCGATGCTCCTCATCATTCCCCCAAACCAGAAGACCCGTCCGATGGTACTTCACCCTTTGAAAAATTCCCCAATAATAGGAACTTCAATTTCCAAGATTTAAGAAATTTCCCCCAATAACGGGGGAATTTTTTAAAACTTGGAAATCGAAATGCAATCTCAATTAAGGTAGTCTGGGAGATTTTCTAGCGACCGGAGAGTAGACTCTCTGAAATAAGGTAATTGAAGTTTCCAGGGAAAGGGCCCGAAATGGCAGGAAGTCCTGGAGGACTTCTCTGACCGGGAAAACGAGGAGGAGATCGCAGTTTAAAACCGGAGATAGTGACCACTCCGAGGACGATCATGATAGATCAGGATTGTCCGAGGATATCGCCACGGTAAGGACTTCCCTCGAGGGCTCTCCTAGGACAACTTTTCGGCCATTTTTGGAAATGCCCCGGAGATGCGAAAATAGGAGGCGCTCTTCCGGTCTCCGAGAGGCAATATCACGAAACCCGTTGCTAACCCGTTGGGAACAGTTTGCCTTTCGTTTCTGGATCCGCCACATGATTTATGTGTTGCGGCTGTTCCCCTACGATGATACATGCGATGGGAAAGGCAGCCATTGTGTGGCTGGTATCATGGTGCACTATACGTCACTCGAGCATCTGACGAGAGGATGCAGTTTAATAATTCCTTTTCTAACCTCCCCCAGGACTCGGTTTCGACTTTCAAAAGAGCCGAAAAATCCTGCCTCTTGATCGATCGTTCAAATCCAGGGATAAAAATTAATAACGCCCACGAGTCCTTAAATATATACATTTTCTCACACATATATTTTTCTTACGCTATTTTCAATCGTTCAGAGAATCGATGCACCTCATGGTCAATATAATTATTAATGGCGTCATAAAAATGTTTAGGATATTTCTCTGAGATTATCATTCTTTAGGAGGTTCGGAAGAAGTCATTCGAGTACGTGTCACCAGTAAAGATTACTCGTTACTCCGTTTTGGAAAGCGATGGCAGATACTATGAGGTCTTCGAGGATCACCTGATCGGCGAAGAAGATGAGCTTCTCGTGAGACAAGCTTCAGACCTTGAAGTGGACGAGAAGTTCATAAGACGAGCAGACGGCACGGATATGTTGCTGACCTCGAAAGGTGACCTAGCGGTCTCATTCCCAGGTGAGGAAGGATTGAGTAAATTTTGGAAAAATTGTTAACAAAATTCCCTCCTATCCGTGGATATATTTCTCCCGCTTTCCGCATCGCTTTCCATGCCGGCCACTTCAGCATTCGCGATGCGCCATGCTTCGGATACCACTTCCAACTTTCATCCCCAAGTTTCCTTGGGAGTAGGAAACTGGGGAGGAAAATAGGAAATGAATATTCCTCAATTTTCAAAGACTTCGCGCAATTCCCCGAGTGTACTTGAGGCTCGGCTGCCTCGGTTATAATACATTATTTCCGTCTGCCTCCCGTTCTCCATCCCGTCGAGGAGGGGTGCAGGGAAGTGGAGAACCGCCCCTGAAGAATCGTGGATGCCTTTCCGATCCCCACAATAGACGGGACCAGAATTACCACCGGATTCATCGTCGAGAAGACGCCCGTAATCTGCGATTGGACCGACGAAGAGTGGGAGATGTACTTCGAGAACAGCCCTAATTTCCCTTCCGACGATATGTCCGAAGATGGCGGATTTCTCTTCTGCCACCCCCTGAAGAGGGGTGGGGACATCCGCAGAAAGTGGCTGATGAAGTACGAGAGCTTCGTCTCGATCAAGATGAAGAGTCTCATGGAACACAGGAATTATGCCAGCGTCGGGTTTGATCAGTCCAAGATCGACTGCACCCTGAAGATGCCCGGCGAGGTCGAGGTCAATTTTTCGAGGAAGGCCCTGCTGGATGTCCTCGTGACACCGAAAGTGAAGCTCAAGGTAAGAATAAATTGTAAAAACTAATTGAAGCCTCGGAGGGCTTATTATCGCATCGCCTTAAATTTCTGGAAATACCTTGACATCCAAAACTTGGACGAATACAATTAGAGACAACCCCAATGGGGAGGTCGAAAGTGGACGTGACCCAGGGGTCGCAGTTCGATGTTGACCTATCAACTTGTAGCGCATCCGGAAGTGAATTTAGGCGAACCCGGTGCCGCATTCAGCGTGTCCCGAACGAGGGGAATCTTCCCCAGAAACGGGCACTTCAGGGTTCATTTCCCGTGGCCCCAGCAATTTCACTGGTCCCGGGGTTATGTTAGGGAAATTTCCTCGATGTCGCCTTTGAGCCCCCCGGCAAGGGGAGGTGTCCGACCTGTGTGTGACGCCACGCGTAAATATACTTCGTGATAAGCTTGCAAACCGTTCTCCGGTTTACGAGAACCAGGCGGTACCAAGGTGGAACCAGGCGGTACCAGGGCTTGCGAAACTGGTCCCATGTAAACCGGAGGGTGTAAACGACGAGGACGACCCCGGGGAATTATTTTGACCATTCACGAGACCCCCCTTTCCGCTCTTCAGCTCAGGGACGACTACCTCCAGTTCTACATGGAGGTCTGCAAAGAGTGTGGCGGGACTTCCGACACGGTTTGCAAGATGTCCTTGGAAAAGGAAAACGCCGTAGACCTGGTTCACACATCGGACGTGCTCGGTAACGTCTTCAAGGTCCATTCGGATGGCACCACGAGTCATCGGAGCGTCCCTGGAAGTTGTTCGATGTGGGACCCTGAAGACGGTTCAGAATTCCAGGATCCCACCTGCCCTAAAAAATGCACCCCATTGGGGTTCCCTCTCAGGAGCAGGTTCAGGGTCTTCGCCATGAAGAGGGACCTTTCTGCCTATGAGTACATGCATCGATCTGACGCCATTAGCGAGGAAATGGCTGCGGTTCATGGAGAACGCTCTAGCGTGGTGTACTACCCCGTACCAGGAAGACTTGGGCTTAGGTACCTGATGACCATGGTCTCCATGACGCCGAAGACGCGTTCCCAGTTCTGGTTACAAGATTACAAGGTGGGACAATTTTTTGGAAATTAATTAGAACCAGGAGGAATTTTTTAAGTCGAATTTCTTCAGGTTCCACAAGTCAGGCCGACCAACCACACCAGGACGGACATCCTGCGCAGCACTTACAATGTTCCCTATAATTGGTTATTCCCGTTTGGAAGGACCGGAAACGGGATAAATCCAAACACGTGGGACGAGCCATTATCGAGCTGCCAGGACTCTGGGGTGCCAGAAGTGCTGATAGTGAGGATCCTTCAAAGGATAAAGGGCAGGGACGAAGACGCCGTGGTGGCTTTGCAGACCGCCTTGGGGTCCTACTGGAGTAAGGTAAGCTCTCCATGATCGACAACCCCAAAGGATGGAAACTGATGGTCGCAGTTCATGAACGCTTTCGAGGGGTATCGATCCTACTTCCCGGAGGGCAGCCTGAACCATCGGGAGGAGAGGTTAAAAATTTGGCTCAGAGACGTGTCCCTGGGGCGGAGAAGAACCCTGGACCAGGAGATCTACCTTTCCGGGCTTTCCGAAAACCGAGCCCCGGAATCCAACTGGAGCCTCGTCAGGATCTCCAGGATCTCCAGACACATCCAGAAGCGGACCCTGAAGAAGGCCGAGGTCGAGTGGTACAAGGAGTGCCTGAGGGAGGGCACCAATATCCCGTATTTCGAGAACATCGCCGGATCCTGCTTCCTCTGGGTGAAGGACTGCCTCGAGGAAGCACTGAGGCTGGGGAACACGAAGAAGGAGGAGACCCGGGGACAACCTCGTTCTTTACTCGAAGAGGTTGCAGTCGATTCCCTCGAAGAACCATCCCGAGAGTCATTGACGTCCCCTTCGATGTGACTATTCCTGGAGGAAAAGGGATAAAGGAATAAAAAATTGGGAAAGACGAATCCTGAAGGAGGTTTCCTCGGGGTCGTGGGGGTACCCTTCGGCAAGCTACGTCGCGCTGGGGTGAAATTAATGACTCCTTCGGATCGCTACTCCGGGGTGGCTGACGTTGAAATAAATCGGCAGTGAAATTACGAAAGGAGAAATTGAGACAGACAGGGAAAGTGGGGGGCAGGGGGGGGGCGAAAAAACGCAGGCGGCGTCCTTTTACGAGTTTCCGTAATGTACGGGGCATATGGCACCCCATGGCCACCACCCCTTTACGACGAGATGTGGCGCGCAACCCCTTCGCCAGCCGCGCACCCTCGCCGCCACTTTTCGTCTCGGAATTCAACCCTCGAACACGCGAAAATCACGAGGGTGGAAACGGTGTGCGAGCCAGACGGCTATTACATTCTTATGCTCGCGACGTCAACCTACCCCTCGAGGCCTCCCCTATTAAGAAAAGGGGGATCCGTGGAAATAGAAAGGGACCCAAAAATAAGACTCGGGAGAACTCTTAACGAACGCTAAAAACATCCTCAACCCATGATTCCAAAATAGAGATTCATTAATATCTCGAGGGATAATAATCAAATGATCGTCAAATTAAGATGATAATACAATTTTTAGGGAAGAAATTAGCCCCAAAAAAGCGCAAAATTTTCCCCGTTATTACATTTAATCGTGCTAAAGTGGTCGTGCCAGCTTAACAGACATGGAAAGAGGGACTTTGAGCTGCGCTTCCGAGGGGAAAGGGGATATCTCCCGAGGGAGCATCCCGCGGAATCCGCGATTCGCTCCGTGCGGAGAAACGGCGGAAGCTCCGTTCTACGCTCGGAAAACGTCGATTCCTCCAAGATTTCCGGCCGATTCTGCGCCGGGATTCTGGCAAAGGCAATCGGAGAAAAATCGCCGGAAATTACGAGGCATTCACCGAGAGGGGATGCATTTTGCGGATTGCAAAGCAGCCCCGAAAAATTCCTCCCCACTCTGGTCATTCTCTCCTTGGATATTTATTTTAATATCGAAGATATCGCGAGTGGAACTCGCTCTTTATCTCTGGCGACGGATTTTATGGAGGAATACGGATCCACAGGAAATATACCACTGTCAGACGGGACCCCATTAAGGGATGTAACTATGTCAACCTACCAGAGGGTAGAATGAAATAATTCCGGCCGCAGGGCCGGGTGGTGCGATTCGCCAGGATTCGTAATCACGCCGGGGGTGGTCCCCCCAAGTAAATAGGTGTGCCATCTATAGGTGATATGTATTCATGGGTAATGTACTGGAGAGGGTCCCGAAAACGTACGCGTGGAGCCAGATTACCCGGCTCTATACTCGTTAATTCTCCTGTATTTTTTGGGGATTTAAAAATCACCTGATTTTTAGAAATTCCGAAATGAAAAAAATTCCTCGTAATTAAATGTAACTCTTAAGTCGAATATTCTTGAGAATTTCGATGTTTTACATAGAGAAAAGGAATGACATAATCTGATATGTTGATTAAGTTTCGATTATTAGAACGTTAGAATTTTTATTCGGATGCCAATTCTCCGAGCGCCGGAAAAATCCCATTTTTCTCGAGAACCAAGTAAAGGGAAGAAAACGTTAAGATGGAAAAATGTTAATTTCGTGAAAGTGGGATGCCAATTTCACGCACTTCTCCAAGGATCGATAGTTATCCCGAGTACTTCAAGTCTTCGCCGGTCGGTAATTAAAAGGTATTACGGCAAATGAGGCTTTTTCCATCATCCTAGGATCCCCTCATCAGCATATTTCATTATTGAAATCTCCATTCTTCGCGTAGACAAAGCCCCGGGCCCGACTTCATTATCGATTCAGGACTTCCATTCCGTTCCCGATCCACCTTGGTGCCCCGTAGGTGGAAGATGGCCCCCCTCGGGGTTAAAAATCCCCCTTCTCGCGAATACTCGCGAACCCCCCAGAGAGACTTTTCATCCCAGCGATTCGCGGGGGGTCGCAACAACGAAAGCTCTTCGCCGGATAAGGATTCGCCGAAGAGGAGCATATCCGATAGATCCCGTAAAACCGAACAACCGGAATCGAACGACGGCCCCATAAGGGGCAGAAAAATGGGGATGAAAATTATTCCCATCTCCGAAAGAGGGGCACTTCCAATATGGCCGCAAAGAAGTCGCTACAAGATACGAGGAGCTCCTCCGGTGCCCGGGAAATCGTAACTCCGATCCTATTTCGGCCCTGAAGATATAGCCTAAGTAGGATTGTCCTATCGAATCGAACTGGTCCTTGGGAAGAATTTTCGACGTCTCCTCCACCCAAGAATTATAACCCTTATCACTCGCATGTTCGCCTTTAAAAATTGCGACATTTTATCCACTCGAATTTTTTTTTTCAATTCCTCTCAGCAAAATTGCGTTTTCTCCAGACTGGTGTGTTTTACTGAAATTAATCGAAAAAGGGAGAGGAATTAATTCAGAAGGATTTAATTCCTTTTCCCTTTTTCACCTGCTCTCAGTAGAATCGCGCTCTTCCCAATCAAGTCCATTTCCCCAAGATAAATGAAGAAAACTCGAAGAGATAAAATCGGACGAATTGAATCGAATCGACAAATTTGGAAATGAATTCACATGTTCCAAGGGGGTGAATCGGAGGGTTTGAAATTCGAAATTCGAGATTCCCGACACGCTCCCCCAAGGAGCTCCCACGGGACCGGGTATAAGGACCCTCGAAATCTGCGGAGAAGTCGAGCGGATTTCCCTCCGCGGCGGAAAAGCGGATTTACAGAGGAGCGTGACCCGTCGCGATCGATCGTTTCCCGCTATCAGGAAACGCCTCGCCTAGAGGGGAAAAGTCATAAGACGTGGACCCTTCCCGGCACGTCGGGATAGTTTTCCACTTTTCCGGGGTCCCCAGGTCCATCCGTCGAGCCTTCGTCGTCCTAATACGGGATTACGCGCCGATAAAGAAATCGGGGAAAAATCGGAGCAGTCCCGACGCAATCTTCCCCCCATTGGGACAGGTCAGGGTACGTCAGGGGGAATTTATTTTCCCGATTTAGGGAGGAAGTGCACCGATGCAGGGGCTGCAAAAGGGCGGACATATGACCCGGACACCCGGAAGCCACCTTGGTACCGCTTTTCCATTATGAGCCACCCCTTCAGGGTTCTCTCCCGCGGGTGCTATCCATCATGGTAGCGATCTTCCGGTGGAAGAGTACGAATACCGGGGGCGACGACGCCAGGGCCTCGTAAAACCCCCGTCGACGACCTGGACTGCTTGCCCTCGGACTTGTACAAATGGCTCGCGGTCTCTTCGCATCGAGGCACGACCCTGAAGAGCCGGGAACCAGGGCGGAAAGGCCTGAGATGATGAGCGTCGAGGTGACCTGTCAACTTCCCTTTTTGATCCCCGCCGATTTAAGGTGACATTAAAGTATGCCCTATGTATATAAACGTCAAAATATTTATAACGCTTTTCTGCAAACTGGAGAAAATCACCGAATTTTTGGAAACTTCAGCATGTAATTATGGAGGCCCCGAGGAAGAACGCGGTGCTCGTGAAATTTCATTGCTGATCAGAAATTGTTTGCAAATTTTCTTATGGAAGCGAATTACTTTTTTTGGAGAATTCTTTCGGCTTTGGAAGCACCTGGAGTCTCGGATCGTTCCTGGGGGAAAAAAAGGACAAGGTTGCCCCCCACAAAGAGCCTGGAGGAATTCTTTGCGAGGGAGTGCTCCAGGCCAGGAAGAGCCGCAAAGGCACTAAACTTCGGGATCGAAAGGGATATATCGACTCCCTCGGCACGAGTCAGTTATACGGTAATGCTCGGTGCAATTTACAGATCCCGGGAGAGATTTATCATCCGTGCGTCCTCGACTCCACGTGCATACATGCACCCGGAGATGCACTCACACTCCCCCGGACGGCGCAGCATCCCGGGACCGATCCCGACTCGCCGACGTGTCTTCCTTCTATCTCGACTAGGTTTTATAGGTCGCAAAACTTGTCGTATCTCCTCGTATTCCATGCGTGGACCCCGCAGAAACTTTGCATCACTCTGTTTCCCCGGGGGTGATCGCCCCAGGTCCCCGACGACACCCTCAGAGAAATAATCTCAGCTCTTTTAAAGAGAAGATTTTAGCATCGGGTTTTGATATCTCATTTTTAAGCTTTAAAGAAAGGGGTATCTTCCGGGGGTCCCCTCAAAAATGGTCAGACGACCAACGAAACGGTTACTCCTTCAGTCGGGGGTAATCGCCCCCGAGGGAACTTTTTAAAATTCGAGGAAAATCAGGGCGAAGTCTGAAATTGAAAAAATTCTATGTGGAAGGGTGAATGGATGAAGAGTACAGCTGCCCCCTGGGGGGTGGAGGGGCAGGGGTGTAAAAGGGAACGTTAAACACTCCTCGGGGGCAACCGACCCCGTGTAGAGCCAACTTTGATGGAACCGTTTCACGCTCTCTTTCCCGATGGAGGGAATTTCATTTAGCGGCGGTGGCTTTATTGCCCCCGATATCTAATGGTGCCCCGTAAAGGTGAAATGAATACCCCCCCGCCCCCCTGTTTTCCTCTGCTCAATGAGCGTTTCCTCTCTTCGAATAATTATATATAAAAGTTTTACGAGCATAATTCCTCCGGATCCCAATCGACGTGCAGTTCGACCTTAATGTCGGTCTAGGATGAAAAAGCTTGATGAGAACATTTTTTAAAAATTCATCGGCGGGGTGAAATTATTTTTTCTTCGCTGTCAAAGGTTGAGAGTAACATGTAGGGTCGACTTGCAATCAGTCAGGTGGAGCTTGCGGGGTTTTAATTCGAAAGCGATCCGAATTTCACAATGGAGATCCTTGAGAGCTGACCACGGTTTGCTGGCCACTCGAGATAGTCCTCTATGGGATAACAGTCGGACTGTCGTTACTCTAACTAATTACGGGGCCTGATTAATCAGGGAAGTTCGGTTGAATTACAGCTCGACCCTCGGCTAG